TTGTCTCTTTAAAGGAGCAAGCGACCCATATAATTTCTCCGGATGAGGGATGGACATTTCTGGGCAAATGGTTTGTGGGGAAATTTGGGCCAGGGAAGCATCGGGGTCCCATGGTTAGTAGTAACCAAGACTTGTGAAGACCAGAGCATGGTGAGAGGTACCAAGCAGGCTGCTGGAGTCGGTGTTGCTAAACCAGGTCTGTTGATCGCAGATGCTCAGTACATGCCTGTCTGCTGGTGGGAAGCATCCACACAGGGAGCTGCAGGATCCAAGCATTTCAAGGGACCAATGGTGAAGGGGCAGGAGGGTGGGGATGAAACCCCAGAAGATGCCAACCAAGCATAGCGGCTTTTGCGCAACATCAGCGAGCAGTGACCCCAGCAACCATCCGACCTCCCCTAGTGTAGGACTCTGCAGCTCTTGTACAAAGACACAGGACTGATATCCATGAGCTCAGCAGAGCGAGATTTATGTGCCCAGTCGAAGTGGAGGTGGGAATTTAGAGAACAAGAATTGTGCATGTGAAGAGCCAGTGGGTATTTAACGACCAGGCCTGTCATTAGCTTCTCTGCACACCTTCCACGAGATGACAAATCCAGCAGCACAATGCACCCTAAGGAGACTCTCATTCTGGTTCCTGAAGCACCGCACCCCCTAGCACCACGCAGGGCATGGCAGCCAGCATGGCCTGCCAGGGGAGAGCGCCCCCTGCTGATCCTCTGCCCTGATCCCTGCAGCACAGCACCTCCAAAGGAATACACTGAATATGGTTGGGGTCACTCAAGCTGGCTGAGTGTGAGAAATTGGAGTGTACCACAGCTCACGAGGCAGGACCTGGTGTGAAATGGAGCCTGGAGGGTTGATGACCCTGAATTGCTCCTTGTGTTTGTGTCTTCCAGTGTCTGCAAGACGCTCCCAGGCGGTGCCTGGTGTCCCCCACAGGTAACGACATATCCTGTCCTTGCTGAGATGCTTGTGGGGGGGGGGAGAGATGAGGGGGAAGAGGGTTTTGGTTCGGGGGGCAGGCATCCCCCTCTTCTCACACAGAAAGAGCGTAGGCTGGACGGGCCATGGAGCCTGAGCCCCCACCTTCCCATTACACTGAGTCCCCACCAGACAGGGGCCCATCCGTATGGGTCAGTGAGTGGAGGGGGGAGGCGAACGTAGCTCGAGGGAGTCACCAGCAGACAAGGTACGTTGCTCAGGTAAATGAACAATTTAGAGGTAACGTTAGAGGATTTGTGTGTGTGTGTGTGTGTGTGCATGCGTGTGTGTGTAATGGAGTTAGGAACCGGGGTTGCGTAAATGTATGTAAGCCTTCTCCCCATCAGAGTCGGCAGTAACAAGGGCCAGGTTCAGTATCTAGGGGTTCCATTTCAATAACACAATGCAAACCCGGCTTGAGCCCCCAACCAGTGACCTGGGACAATTACATAACACCCCCCCCCGGGTGCCTCTAAGAGGCAATACTTCCCCTCTCGCAAGCACAGAGTCTGAGTGTAGCAAAAGACTTTTAATAACAGAGAGAAACTATGTGGCATTATGTTGGGGAAACACTACAAATAGGATTTGTAACACAAACTGTAAGCAAAAGACCCGCCCCCAACCAAATTGGGCCAAATCCTTTCCCCAGAGCGGTTCTTGAGTCCAGCAACCCAAAGTCCCCCAAAGTCCCAAAAGTCCAGCAACCCAAAAATCTCTGTCCCTGGTCAGTGCAGCCCCAGAGTTCAAAAGTTCATCTGCAGAGTTTTACCCCCCCAGCCTGGGTGGAAATGGGGGGGGGTGTTTTAAGGGGCACCTTATGTGGTCCAAGGCCGACTGCCCTGCCTCTCTGTGGGGCTCAGCTCTGCTCCGCCAGCCATCCCATGAGCCGCTCCAGCCACCCCACAAACTGCTCCACTCCGCCAGCTGCTCCACTCTGCCAGCCATGCCGCAAACTGCTCCACCAGCCGCTCAGCAACGTATCTTCAGGCCCCCCCATTACTTAACACAGTTCTCAATTTTAGCTCTTTAGTGATTTCAGCTTGTAGTAGGGGAGCCTCAGTGCTGGTGCGCCATTGGCCCAAAGTGAATTCAGCTCAGCAGCCTATAACTAGACTCCTAATAGAATCAAAATTAGCTCTGATATTCCACAGTGAAGAGAAGAGAAGGTATAATTGGTGTTTCAGGCCCTCACAAGGGGGCCCACACCACCAGGTACTACAAGTGTAAATAGTCTCTTAGCCTATCAAAGGCTATGATCAAGTGTCTGATATTTTTGGCCTTTTAACCTCAAGATGAAAACCTTGCCTCTATCTCTTAGATACATGAACTAAAAAAAACATTATCCAATAATATCTGTCCCCAGCCTCTCTCAACTCACTGGGTTTTGGAACCTATGTCCCTTGCCTAGCAAGTGCTGCTTAGTTGATGGTGAGTCCCCCCCATCATAACAAAAGGCCAAGTACAGTTCCACTGTCCTTGATTCACATAATCAGGATAATAACAGTTTATTCTTCCTGCCCCAACAACAGAGAAACTGGGGCTCTGACAGCAGCCAAAGTGACCATCTAGGTAGAATGGATGTGCCTATGCAAATGAGATCAGCCCCTTAAGTTCTTTTCCACAATCCGCCACAACTCACCACCAGATGTCAGGGTAGAGCTCATCCTGACTCTGCTTACATGTAAAAACAAGCTGTGGGAACTTACACTTGTTTCTTGTCTGAAAATCTCTCAACAGCTCGACGATGCCTTTCTAGAGGAGGCCCTGGACAGGGTTGGATCAAACAGTGAAGATGAACCGGGACCGCCTTCTTTTTGCTCAACGCTGCTACAAATTGTTGAAGAGGTCTCCGAGGATGACGACTATAAGGAGTTTAGGAGGAGGCTTGGCATGGAGCTAACTGACCCAGTGCCACGTCATGAGCGTAAAAAAGTCATGCGGACTATTTACGTTTTGCTGTTTATGCTGTCCTTAAACACTGCCTTAGGGAAAAGCTTTTCGAAGATTGTGAGGGCTGCGTCATGGATGCCCCAGGCCAGCGGTACCATGACTGTGTGACTTGGACTTCAATGGATATAAACTGCAAGCTCCGGGGCCTGTGTGCTGAGCTGTGTTTGGAAAGCTTATTAAACACTGTTATTGCCATAGGTTATGCTATGCAATGTCTGTGCCTAACCCAAGAACATTTAGCGCAAGGGGTGACCTTGATAAATGCTGTGCAATTCAGTGGAGACCCTGACCGTGTTTTAAAGAAATTGACCAAACCGGAAGATGCCTGCTTACAGCGTTATATTGACCGTCTGGTCCGCACAAAAAGTTACAGGACCCTGCTTAAAAAAAAGACTATTTGTAAGAAATCTAAAAGGATTAAGTTAGAGAATGGTGAGGGGACAAACATGCGATATAAAACTTGATAGCTGTAAATAAAAAAAAATCTATTGAGAAGGGCTTTGTGACGATCTGTGACGATCTGTGTTTGTCTCTGCAGGCCCGAAAACATACGGGTATAAGCTGTCGGGAGATAAGGCCTGTATCAAAGTCAAAGGGATTACTCTGAACATAGAAGATCAACTTTGACAGTTTGAAAGATCTAGTCCTGGACTATTGCACGGGCCTGTGAGAAAAAACTCAAAAAAGATAGAGGTGCAGCAGCCCTCTATCGTAAGGAACAAAAATCAGTGGCAAATAGAAACAAAAACCCTTAAGAAAATGCAGAAAGTTGTTTACAACAAGAGGGTTCTAGGCTTTTGTAAATGGATACAAGGTGGTATATTATAAAATAAAAAGGGGTATATTCCTGAGGTGCAGTGCTGGGAGCTCAGGGGATCTGGCTGGTGCCTTTCTTGTGTGATTCATGAGTGGCTCTGGGAGCATTCATGCAATACAGCTGGGTGTGGGCATCCACATGTGGTTATGCTGAGTGATCACAGCGCCAGGAGTGGCTTGCTGCTTCTCACTAGCAAAGCACTGTGAGAGACAGCCCAAGCTGGAGAGAGTTCATGGAGCACAAGGGTCCCATGGTCCCAGGCTGCACCCCGGGGATCCCGTCACAATGGTCACTTACACCAAAAATCACATCGCTCTTAGGTTGCTTCCAAGCTAAAGAGACAAGTCACTTACCCCAGATCAACTGGTACCCTAGATCTTACACCAAACACAACGCCTGTTGCCAATCCTATTATAAAGGTTTATTAACTAGGAAAAAAGAATAGAAAAGTTATCTACAGGTAAAAGCAATCAAATAGACACACGCCAATGAGTTATCATGTAAATCTGAAGAGTGACAGATTTGTAGTGATCTGTCAATTCAAAGGGCCTTTCAGGGCAGATGCAGGAGGCAGCCCCTGGGGATCTCTGGCTTCAGTTCAGAGTCTCTGGCCCTTCTGAGTTCAGACAGCCAAAATGACGCAATTTCTTCTTCTCAGGGATTTTTAGTCCCTTCCCCCAGAGTTCAAAAGCAGGGGACAAGTTCCCATCTATGTCTCCTCTATATGGGTTGGGGGACGCAATCAACAAAGTGTTTTGTCCTCTGATGTTCCACAATGGTTTGTCAGGTGTCTATGGGCCTGCTTTTGCTGGGCAGGAAATAACACCTCTTGTGGCAAACTCATATTTCACACTTGGTCATGCTTCTCTCCAGACTGTGGGCATTTACAGTTTCAGAGCAAACACTTATAACATTGGATATTCACATTATCAGTTAGATTAATGCAGGCAGCAACATACAAGCATTTCATAGCATCTAAACATTAAAGACATTCTTATAAGACTAATATCTATTTAGAGCAAATCTAACACACAGGTGACCTGGTCTGGTCTCCAGCTATGAGATTGTAAGTTCTCAGATATGCCGGCTGCCTGGGTAAGAGTGGTCATCAAACCAGCCAGGAGCACACAAGCCAGGCTGTTTTGCTTATCTGCCAGTTAGCCTGATTCACACAGACACATGAATCCACATTCCTTTGTCTAGGGCCGGCTTCTTTATCAACTACATTCATAGCATATTTCCAGCATACATACGTAACACTTGCTACACAATCCGTGCATACATCACACAGTGGTGTTCATGACCAACGGGTTACCAGTTTTTATATGATACATGACAAGATGCTGGTTGGCTAAATATTCTAGCAATGGTGTTTGGGGTGTGCCCCTCGCCAAGAGGCATAAAAGGCCTCTTGGGGTATAAAGGGTTAAGGATATGGATGCCAGGAGGAGGGGGAGAACATGCAGAGAGACATAGAGAGAGTGTCTCCTCCTTATTTAGTTGCCTTCCAGGTGTGCGTTGTCACCACCTCGCTATACAGCACATGCTCATCTTCAGCAGGTTTTGGTTTTTTGTTGTCCGGGTTGTGTGAGCCTGTGAGGCCGGGAATGCTATGAGTGCATAGGTGACTTCTGAGCCCTGGTGGGGGAGGAAAGAGACATGGTGAGGGGGAGGGGTGCACAGACACTAAGTACTTGGATGCTGGAGTGGAGAGTACGCCTATAAAATAGGTGGTTGCAAAGATGTTGGAGGACAAGATCAAAGTGATCTTAAAAAAAGGGAGAATTCCCCTGAAATCAGTAAAATGGAATTCAGGGAAGTGCAAAGTACTCCCTTTAGGAAGGAAAAATTAAAGGCAGCAGGACAGAAGGGGTTTAACTTGTACGGCAGCAGTACTTCAGGAAACGAGTTCTAGTGGAGCACAAATTGCACATGAGTCGATAGCACGATGCTGCTGAGAAAAAGGCTAATCTCATTCTGAGGTATATGAACAGGACTGTCGTATGTAAGACACAGGAGGTAACTGTTGTCCCACTCGGCATGGTGAGGACTCAGCTGGAGTACTGTGTCGAGTTTTGTGCGACGCACTTAAGAAAGATGTGAACAAACTGGAGAAGGTCCAGGGAAGAGCAACAAAAATGATCAGAAGTTTAGAAAATATGACCTATGTGAAAAGGGTGAAATAATTGGACATGTTTAGTCCAATGGGACTGCTGAGGGGGGACCTTATAACCATCTTATAACATGACATTATAAAGAGGACAGTGCTCAATTGTTCTCTGTATCCACTGAAGGTAGGACAAGATGTAATGGGCTTAATATGCGTCAAGGGAGATTTAGGTTAGATATTAAGGGAAATTTTCAATCTCTAAGGGTAGTTAATCTCTGGAACAGATGACCTAGGGAGTGTGTGGAATCTCCATCATTGGAGGTTTTTAGAACCACTGGACATCCCATTGGGATGGTCTAGGTTTAAGTAATCCTTCCTCCGCACAGAGGGCTGGACTAGTTGGCTTCTTGAGGTTCCTTCCAGCCCCACATTTCTGTGATTCAATGGAGGTTTGGGGTGATGGTGAAAGGGATGATGAATTCCCAGCCCTGCCTCCTGTGTGAGCAAACCCTGTGCAGCATCTCTTTGTGGCTTTTACCTGGCTGCCCCACCCCAGAGAGGCAGCTGCATTTTAGGAGTGGGCAAAAGTTTCAGGTGGTTGGACTGTGCTGGGGTTTGAAGCTTAGCCTATAAATCCATTCACGTTACCTGTTCCATCTGCTCCGCTCCGGCACCCGTGGCTTTTGATCCCTTATTATCATGACCAGGATCCAGGTTCCTGATGTGTTCTCCAGGCTCAGATCCTTTGGTGCTTTTCAGAGGCTTTGGAACTAAAACAGAACCAGATGAGAATAGAGCTGAGGTGGGCAGAGATTGTGAGGCAATGCCTAGCTGCAGTGTGCAAA